CCAATATCGATTTTTCAAGCGTGGCGATTAACCGAGAAGGAAACAGAACATTACGTTTGCCAACGTGACAGCAAGTGTATTCCCTGTGAATATTATTCCGAGGCGTGCTCTCTAACTTTCTAATCTACTCCGTTGGTTTTGCTCTGAGTAAGGAAGACGTTGTGGTATATTATGCGTAATGTTAGCAGTACTTAAATATAATACAGACTTGTAGAATATTTTGATAAGATTATTTCGTGAATAGATAATGTATAAAAGCAGAAAAAGCACAGTAACAGAAATAGACCGGAGCAATAAAAGGGCAAGGTAAAGATAGCAGAAACTCTTAGTAATGGTATGAATTCGAAACAAGATATGAGAATTAAATATAATGGATATGTTAAACGGATATAGGATAGAGTAAAAGTTAAAAATGAAAAGAAGTTAGATAGATAGATACGATAAGAATAGATAAAGATAGAATAGAGGGTGAGAGAGAAGAGAGAGAGAGAGAGAGAGCGAGAGAAAGAGGAAGAGAGAGAGAGAGGGAGAGAGAGAGAGAGAGAGAGAGAGAGAGAGAGTAGATGAAAGAAAGATGACAGGTGACAGACTATATATATATATTATATATATATATATATATATATATATATATATATATATATATAGAGAGAGAGAGAAAGAGAGAGAGAGAGAGAGAGAGAGAGAAGAGAGAAGAGAGAGAGAGAGAGAGGGAGAGAGAGAGAGAGAGAGAGAGAGAGAGAGAGAGAGAGAAGAGAAGAGAAGGAGAGAGAGAGAGAGAGAGAGAGAGAGAGAGAGAGAGATAGATAGATAGATAGATAGATAGATAGAGAGATAGAGAAGAGAGAGAGAGAGAGAGAGGTGAGAGAGAGAAGATAGATGACAGACAGACAGATAGATAGATAGATAGAGAAGATAGATGACAGACAGACAGGTAGATAGATAAATAGATAGATAGAGAGAGAGAGAGAGAGAGAAGGACCATCATTATCCTTGATCGCTCATTGATATTTGCCATCCATCATGGAAGGCGAATCGATCGCTCAAGGTCCCAAGATATCTCCCGAATCGATGCAGAATGAGACTGAACGAAAGGAAAAGAAACCTGCCAATCTTCCTGCATTTCGAAAAGGGGTGTTCTCCTGCAACCTTCTGACCTGTTGCAGAACAAGTGATGGTGAGGTCGAAAGGGGTCGCTGGGTAGTGAGATAGTGGTGATAGTGTGACTTTTGTGGTGGTTGTGTGATGATGACTGTGTTGTTTATTGTGGTCTGTTTTTTCCTGGTTTTATTGCTTCTTATCAAAATTGTTAGTGCCATTTCATATAGGATTTTTATTATTATTGTCATTAATCAGGTACAAAATAAAAAGGAAAAAAAAACTTGTTAAAGCTGAAACATATGCGATCAACTAGTCTTGTCTTTAGTTTGTAGCTGATGGTCATAATATCATTAGATATTAGTAGATAATATCAATCCATAACGCAATGCACAAAACTATTTCTTTCCCTAATTTTGGTCTACATTTCTACAGTGACTGTCTGTCGAATATCTATGAATTATCTCTCTTATTTTTTTCTTTGCACGATGTTGATTTAGTCTTAAAGCGATAATGGGTAGAACTGCCTGTTTTTTACTTTAAAAGCACAAACGATCTAAGGGCTAACTATTGATTGTTGTGCTACTATCTTTCTGATAAACGGAAACTGTTAGGATACGTATGCAACATATAAGCACATTCAGGCATACTTATATGTATATATTCATGAATACACACAACTAACACACACACACACACACGCGCGCGTGTGCGCACACTTTTTTGTATTTTATCATACAGTCTCAATCTCCCCTTCTTCCTCTCTCTCTCCCTCTATCCATTCTTCGTTCCTACCTCCCTTCCTTCTTTTCCACTTTGTCCATATTCCATCGGTCCTCCACCCACTCCATCCCCCCCTCCCTTTATCCCTTCCTCCCGTTCCTCCTCCTTCCACCTTTCCACCCTCTCCCTCCCTCCCCCTCCCTCCCTTCCCTCTCCACCGCATCTTTTCGTAAAAAATCGTAATGTCTACAGCGAAGAGAGATACGTTCATAGCTGTAGTAAAAGTCGATAGAGGCATTTCGATTCGTGGAAGATTTACGTCTGATGTTAGTAGTTCCACCAGGCTTTTATGTCATGTTGGCGAGATTGTGATTTAGATACGGCCATGGGTGTATGTAGGCATGTGTGCGTGTATGTGCGGGACGAAGGGGTGGTGGATGGGTGTGTGTGCGTGGATGGTTGTGTGTATGTGTGAGCTCGTGCACGAGCACATGTGAGTGTGGACCTTTATGTCCGTTTCTGTTTCCGTTTGTGTAGTTGATCCTTTGTTTCTTCTTCGTTTTTTTTCCATCTTCGCCTTCGTTGTCTTCTTCTTCTTCTTCTCCTCCTCCTCCTTCTCCTTCTGATATCCATGCACATCAAAAACCATAACCACATGGAAATCCCAACTCACGGACGTCACAATCCCTAATCATTATCACACACAAAGGGCAAAGACAATACTAAACAAGGGGTAAACACCAGGAAATGTACCATCTGCCAGCTGGTCTCGTTGAAGGTCGCCGAGAAACCGAATTGTGAAGCTATTGCAATTTGTCCTTATAAGGCTTGGCGCGTTGTCTGATGGTGTGTTCTTGCGCAGTGATGACGGAAGGATAACAGAATGTTCTTGTTCAGCACACGAGGCGTTTGCTTGTTCTTTAAGGAGAGGGGGGGGGGGGGGTAAGGTGAGCGAGAGGAGGGAAGATCGGGATGAGAGAGGAGAGAGGGAGAGAAAGAGAAAAAAATAGAGAAACGAGGAGGCGAGGAAGATGGAGATGATAGGAGAAGGGAGGAGAACCACTGCGAGACAGAGATAGAGAGGAGGAGGAGAGAGAAAGAGAAATACAGTGGAGAAAAAGCATGCAGACAAACAGACAGGCAGAGAGATAGGTAGATAGATAAACCGATAGAGATAGATAGATAGATAGACAGAGATAGATAGACACAAAGAGAGAGAGGAGCGATAAATACAGAGTAAAGAGAAAAAAAAAGTAAACTAAGAAAAAACACAAGCAAATAAACGAATAAATATAATAAACAGAAAAAGACACAAAATGCATGATACAAGCATAGTAGCCACATAAAAGATGGATATAAATTCATAGTGATGTCAACGCAGTATACAAATTGATGACGTCACACTTAGGGACATAATAGCCAGCCCAAGTAAAGAAATGATCGCAATATGTTGAAAGCATGAGGATAATGTTAATGAATGCCAAATTTAGCCAAGATGAGAACATATTCCTTATGTGTTATTTTCTTTATCATCATATTCGTTTACTTAGCATGTTTTCTGTTTGTATTTATTTTTTCTTCTTATTCTCATTCTTTATTTTCTTCCATTAATTTAAGAACTTATATTCTTTGTTAATGCAAGACTAAAATAAACATGTACATCGCACATGCACACATACAAATAAACAAACAAGTAAAAACCAGAAAATTTCCAAATTAAGTTAAAAATCATTATAGATAATACCTACAAGCAAATTTCTCACTCCTCCCCCCCTCACCACCCCCCAGACACCCCCTCCCCCTAGTCCCCACCACTACCCCCACCCACCCACCCCCTCCCCCACTCCACCCGCCATCACCCACCACATCTAGAAACACGCACAAACACACACACACACACGTAAAAAAAAAGGACATCGATACTTTTCTTTTACTATCCGTGTAAAAAAATTGACCTTTACACCTTACACATCTCCTTAAAGCCATTATCAGGTAGAAGGAGAAGACGTTCTTGAGATGCTCTTGTTCAGCGTCGGATGTCCCCTGATCTGGAGATGCGCAGAGTTAGCAGTTTGACTTTTTTCTGTCTGTCTGTCTGTCTGTCTGTCTGTCTGTCTGTCTCTCTGTCTCTCTGTCTCTCTCTCTCGCTCTCTCTCTCTCTCTCTCGCTCCTCTCTCTCTCTCATTCTCTCTTCTCTCTCTCTCTCTCTCTCTCTCTCTCTCCTCTCTCTCTCTCTCTCTCTCTCTCTCTCTCTCTCTCTCTCTCTCTCTCTCTCTCTCTCT